GTGCCGAGACATGAGAACCCTTCCAGAGCTTTAGCGCGAGCCCGCGGAGCAGAGCACGCCGCCTTTTGGCACCGTGAATGATTTAGATCTCATATGTTTGTAGGCTTTGCCAGATGGCACCAATCGCTGACCACAGCCGCGTGCAGAGGACCAAACGAGAAGGCGCCATTAAAAAAGAAAAAAAAAGGAAAAGGGTGAGGTGAGACAACGGGATAAAATAATCCAATTCCCACCGTTTGGTGTCGATCAGTAGAGCGAGAGGAGGACGAGCTGGTGTGACTGAGTTGGTATTTGGGAATCATGACGCGACTAATAACACACCAGCTCCACTTTATATTAGAGCTGAAACAATAAAATAACCCTTAATCCTTTAAGCCTTTTATCAGATCTCAAACTCAATAGTCCTGAGACAAAACCACCTTATTACGAAGGACGTTTTTCACCATCATACTGAAGACACGCCCCTCCCGTTTTGCAGATTGCATTAGTCTGTATGAGCATATATTGCTCACAGACACTCGGGCAATGCAAGTGCAAGTTCTGGGAGCTTAATGAGGTCATTTTTTACTTCAATCTGTCGTCCTATAGCCCATCCATCAGCATCACTTCCAGTCTTCTTCGCCAACTGTGTGGCCTCAGCGTCACAAAGACGGACATCCAGCCGTCAGTCTCCCACCACAACCTCGACAACAGGACCCCCCCCCTCCCCCCTCTCACGCCAGGACAGCTGTATGCGTCTAGATGGAGTGTCATCTCTGACAGCTCGAGTATCCCATTACATTACTTACCTTCCATCGGCTCTTTGGCTCCCGGTGGTAGGTCAATGACATCATATTACAGTCTTCATGCTAAAATCCATTACTTGCCCTTAAAAAAAAAACAAGCCACAAAAAAGTACTGGTGCATGCAGTATTGGAAACTTATGTAAAACCTTCTCAGACAGACCACATTCCGTTTGCCGAAGTGCAGTTTTTTTCTTTCTGAGGGTTTTGGTGCGCCACACGGGAAATGCCAGTCAGACCGAGAAGCATTCATCATAAGGAAGAAATGTGCGGTGCGGACTGAATGTTCATGCTCCCATAGAAGACCTGGTTCTGACAAATGGTTCCAGAATCCAATACAAGCCCTGACCGAGGAGGAAGTGTGCGAGGATGGCTTTGCTTCTAAAAGGTCACACCTGTAAAAGGGTAAGGATTATTTTTTGTCTTCGTCAGTAAAATAGCTTGTGTTATTTCAAACAAAGGGGGAATGGAATATATATTTTTTTATCAGCAAACTTGCTCTTTTTCCCCCCTCTTTTCATGTGACGCAGCCTATTAGAATTTCAGAGCGTTCGCTTTCTCCAAAGAATTGCTTTTCAGGGGTAAAGTGGGAAAAAGTCTATGCCAACTTATATATTTTGTCTATATTATGCCTGAAACATTGCTGCTGAGAAGCTGCAGAGCCTAGAGTTACTTATATTTAAAAAACAGACAGACAGACAGACAAAGTCTTGTCACATCGGACATCATTAACAAAAAAAGAAAGATTACATATTCTCACTTGGAAAACAAATCTATACAAATATCAATAATTATGCTTTATAACATTTTGCTTGGATAAAAGCAGCCTCAGAATATTTGCATATGTTCTCAGCAGTAAAGTGAGTAGTCTCAATAATACATACAACGCTGGCATGTAGTAATCCGTTTCCAGATAAACATTTTGCGGCTGCTACGTGTTCTGGCTGATGAAATCATGCCACTCCCTACATACACAACATGCATGCTTATATGCCCTTGCTAAATTAGATTAACCTTTCTGCTTAAGAATCAATAGCGTTTTATTCAACACCTCTCTCTCAGCTGCGGCTAAAGGTTAATGCACAAGAGATTGAATCGGCGAGTGCACGATTCTTTTATTTGCCAAAACTACGGATTTGAACCGGCCTTTGTGATCATATTTCAGTAATTGATTTCTATGCAGAGACAAACTTCAGTGGGAGGATTTCTTTAATCCTGGACTAATCTATATGCATGGCCTCAGGTTGGAAAATGGGCCTCGGTTCTGACCGCTGCTCAATATTTGTTTTTACAGTCAAACAACCTTGTTATGAGGGTCCTCGGCACCCGTCCAACCTATTCTACTTGAAAGAGCCATTCCAAGCTGGTTAATCGGTGCAATCTGCAATATTTCAACACAATGATTTCATACTACCCTACCGACCCAACAGCTGGCATTTAGTTCACACTTTCCCCCCAAAAACAAACGTTACATTTCTCCGCCATCGAGCTCTCTTTGGTACTGGTCGTCAAGACCATCTATTAATTAAATCCACACCCATTTAAGCGTTTCTGCTCATTTGAACTGTGACCAAACCATTTTTTTTAAACCATTTCTTCTGCTCCAGATATCTCAGAGCAGTTAATCTGATCGACATCACAGTCGGCCGGTGCATTGCTAAGGACCCAAAGACGTCTATGGTGGTGTGATTTGGACACAATTATTGAATATAAACTATCTTTGAATAAACAAGCTTCTAAGTAAAACACGTTCACTGCAGTGGCTCAATGCCCACTTCTGGAAATACGAAATGTAAAAATCTTATTCCCTTCCCTGTGGCCGATGAGCGATAAGCGGCTCCTCAGAGCAGAGCGAGCAGCACCTCCGGAGGGCAGGCAAATCGACCCGCTGAGAACGATCATCGCTCTAGTGTAAACAATGCTGAATTAGTACTTGGCAAAAGCTGTACGAGGAGCAAAATGCCATCAACTCATGTAATAGACCTAAAGGGAGAGAAACATACACACACACACACACACACACTTGGTGAATAATAAAATGTACATAATATTTGTTTGTTTACAAGGAAAAACCCGAAATTTGTTTCCCATTTTGAGTTCTCTCTTTGATGCCCTTTCATTCCGTCGAGTGTCTCCATTTCGCCTCGCAAATTGCACTTAACTTTGTTTTGAACTGCTTTGCAAATGAGGATGATTATTAGTGTTACATTAACATACCAGGCGTGACATAATGAAATCCAGCCTAGAAAAACTAAAAAACTCCTCCAGAGCCGATTCATACCAAACTAAATAAAAATATTGAGTTAGTCACACTGACTGATTGAATTTTTTAGAAGAGTGAATATTAATTCAACCTTAAATATTTCCTGCAACTTTACAGGACTTTGAATTATTTATTGTTGTATCAACGAATGTAATGAGAGGAATCTATCCATTAGGGTGCCTTTAAGTAGACCCAATAAACATGCCATCTAAAAGAGGGGGCAATCCGTCAGAGATGACCGACACTGGAGACCGCTCAGGCCCACCATCGTTATCAGATTCCCCCGGCGCTGCACTCAAAGACACGCGAGCAGCAAGAACAACGCACATCAGTAGGAGGCGGCTTACCGTCCACTTCCTGCAACGGCCCGGTTTAGACATGAAGTCGTAAACTGGAAAAGACGCTTTCCAGTAATGGGGCACGGAAGTGAAGAAATACAGTCTCTCCCGCTCGAGTTCTGCGGCAGAAAGTGGCGTTCTGGGCCACTCATACGCGTTACTGGTGTTTCAATCCGCTTTGCACATCTTTCCACAAGCAAGATAAAGACCGGGGAGAGGAAATGCATCGGCCTCACCGCTGAGCAGCAAGACGGAAACGATTCATCCTTGAACACAACTGAGCATCTCAAACTGAAAGCGAGGCAGAGTGGCTCCTTGGAACCGCAAACCAGTTGGTTCCCCTCAACTGTTGTTGAATTCCTCAAAACGATAGGAAGCACTCAGTTAGCTACTAGAAAAAGAAAAAAAAGGAGTTTTAAAAATAAAGTGGAAAGGAAAATTCTGGTTCCCAACATCCTAACTGAACACAGACGTGTTCTGTGATGTACAAGCTGATAGCAGAAAATAGAGTAATACATGTTCATCGGCTGATGAGGACGGAGGTCAATACATTCAGCTGTAGACGGGACTGATGCGCTTTAGTTTGTTCCATAAGCTGGTACCTATTTCTTAACGCTGTGCGAGAGAACTTTTGGTGAATCAACCAAAGGGAGAATTGATTTTTATGTGCCATCTTAGTTCAAAGTGTAAAACTGCTTCACTCACCAGTCTTAATGTCACAGTGTGGAAATAAATCCAATCATTTGGACACACAGTGGTCCTTTGTTTGACACCCTTTCATCATAGTTTGACTCGGTCGCTGAACTGAAAGGGAACTTCATCAAGACGTGAACCGGTCCGAGGGAAGATGAATTGTGGATGAGGGCCGTGTTAATGTAGGGTGTTAATCCCGTCCAATTAGCATCGCCAAGGAAGCGGAGAACACGGAACACCACCTCTCCCTCTCAAGAGCCCTTCCAATTACCCACAAAGCAATTCATTACTCCGTACTTCTCTAATTCTTTAATTAGAAAGCCCTTCTTTAATTTGATGCATCGCGGGCCTCGTTTTAAAACTCAAATCACGGTTTCGTTACAGCACACTTTGCATCGTGTGAAGGGACAAACCTTGCTCAGTGCATCCGTTTGTGCGACAGGTATGGAGTGTATGTGAGAGAAAGCTAGAGGCATGTTTGCAGCTTTGATTGGCCGGAGGTGTTGGCACGGTAACAGACGGTCAGGCACACAATCTCGGCGGAGCAGTTTGCTGCCTGACCTCCAAAAAAAAAGAGCTAAACAGCCTCAGGACATGGCAAGCTAATCGAAAACAACAAAGACTGAGCTCCCCCCGCCTCGCCTCTCTACCCCTACCACCACCAAATTATGGGATTACGCCACAATTCCCATCGCAGCTATTTGATGTTGGTGGAGGAAGGGTCAAAGGATCTGAGCAATATAAAAAAAGAAGTATTTCTTATCAGAGCGGGTTTGAACGGAGGAGGAGATTTGAAATTTGACCCGATTGATGGAGTGAAGGGGGGGGGGGGGGGGCTGGGATTAAACCCCCTATAGGGACCCTGCAGCAGCATCAGCAGCAACAGCAACAGCGCAACGCGTGCCAGTTAGTCGTCGTCAGTACCTGGAGGCAGGCTGGCCCGCTTCCTCTTCTTGCTATTCTCACCAGTGCTTTCCAGAGGGGGGCACTCGGTACCCAGCGGCCCGCCGGAGCTGCTGAACTGCAGGGGGTCGTTGTTGCCGGCCGGATCGAAGGACAGAGAGTTGAGTCCTGGAAGACACAGAGAGAGACAAACTATAGCAACAGGAAGAGACGCTTTACATCAGACAATCGCATTTCGCAGCGTTCATACACATTTACATCCAGCTTGCAATGCAAATTTTTTTTTGCCACCATACAGTCGAGGCACAAAGGTGCGCTAGTTGGCACACCATTTCCATCGCTTTTTGAATCAATGCCAAAAAAGGGGTCAAAAAAAGTCTCATACCAGTAAGAATCATTATTTGAAATGATGCTGTTTAGAATCTAATGCTCAATATTTAACCAGCACGTCCACCAAAACAACATCTCATTCGATTTTAAACAGGATGTAAATGTAGCTGTACGGTGCGCTGCATAACGAGGCCGATCAATCAGTGAAGCAGTTCAGCGAGGAAGGAATGTTTTTTTTTTTGTTGCATTTTGTCGTTGCTCAGCGCTATCTCACAATAACAGGATCATCATTCACATCATGAATACAGGACAAAAAGAGCTCTCACCTCCATAAGTAATGAAAACAAAAACAATGTCGAGTTCGCTCCCGAGTCCTAATAAATGATAACAACTTAACTCGATGCATCGGCTCGTTTCCTCTCTTTTGGGCTTGTGTATTTGTTTGTGATTCCAAGCGGGGTTCTGTGGAGACTCTGTCTGCAGTCATGAAACATTCATGATACATTTGTTTATCCTCCCTCTGTTGCACACCCAATCAGCAGCCACACATTACCGTGGCCCCATCAGCGGTCAAGGGGACCCTCATCGGTCATTATCAAATCCAAACAGCGCTCCGAGTGTCAATATAATTGGAAAGGATCGCCATTGTGGTCTTTGTTGTGACAAATCTCCCTTTTTATGAAATGAAGACTCAGATTACGCTTTGGAGAATACTTCAATTAAAGTGTGTTTTGGTACTTTTTAAGTACGACAGCTTAGATAATTACAGTCTAATCCGTGAAGGACTCTTATACTAATATTAAGAAGCTCCCATTCAAATACCCTCTCTTCTGTTACGTGTAGGCAGAGGTGACTTTGAATTTGCTGCAGTCGGTCTGAATAGATCTTCTGACTGAGCTTACACACCGAGATCTGAAGTCCGCCTCCTCCCAGCACCCTTCAGTCACACTTCTTTTTTTTTTTTAATGATGAACCCCAATGGTGTCAAGAGTGAAAGAAATCTATTGCTCTGCAGATGTCGACTCCGTCAGCAGTTTACAAAACACGGCCTTTCAGTTGATGGCACGATAGTTGCTGTGAAAAGAAAATGGCCAAGAGAAACCATGAAAAGAGTGAAACGGTGCTGAAGAGCTGACAGGGAAACAGCGGAGAAGCGTTCACTACGTCCTCCCCGGTCGGCATCGAGGGAAGCAGCTACTTTTGATCTTATTGTCCAGGAAGGGACGTCTAAATGTGGTGTAAGGAAGGTGAGAGGATGAATCGAGGAGGTGGAAATGTGCTGCACTTAAATGTGTGATTAAAAAGTGATGCAGCAGTGAAGCATTTCACACATTCAGCCTCAACGAAACGGCTGTACGTCGCCGTGTGATTTTATCTCGGGACCACTTATCGGAGAGTTGCGGCCCGCCAAAGACACCGTGTCAATTCTGGGCTACTCCTTTTGTCTGCAGGCTGATGGGCAGTGTTTTAACATCTGGATAGCGGGGAGAGTGATGTAAGTGCACAGGAAATAAATACCAGGAGAGTGGGTGGAGACGAGTGGAGGCTTTGGAGAGACCAAACCGATAAACCTCATGCTGCGTGACATCGGGAGGAGATACCAGAAATGAAAGTGACCCGATTTTGCGTGAACGCGTTAACAACATGCCTCATTTATGGTGTAGTGGGCCAGAAGAAGACATGACCATTAGAAGATGAGATGAACTCAGTGGGTCATTAGAACGAAAAAGGTGTCTGGCATGGGAAACCAAAGTGCACCGGAATAATCGAGACACGACACCCAAATGATCGGATGTCGAATAGATTGTTATTGTTATTTGTGAAATTCTTGGTCGACTATCTAAAGGTTAAGAAGCTAGGCCTGTTTTAAATTGATTAAGAAGCTGAAATAATTTTCTAATATTCTATGGATGAGATATTAGAGGCCCATAATCAAACAGCAGCAATGCACATCTCAAATATAGAAGCCAGGGGAAAGACACGCCCATCACTGGTCATGGAGTGCCTCAGGAGTTTTGAAATGAGGTTTGACAGCAATAACACAAAGAACCACTTTTAATGATTTCAAAGCACACCGGCGTCTGCGGGGGCTCAAACCTGTGACCCCTCTGTAGAGATCACATCATTAAGCGCCGCTGCTCCTCGCTGCAATGATTCTCCTGGTAGCATGTTTGCATCATTCTCCTGAAGTCCTTAATCCGACTCGGATCAGCTAATAAACCCAGCAGTACAGTATGAATAATGCAGAGCATTAGGGAATGTGTATCAGCCCAACGTCGCAGGTAAGCGCCTCTGCTCGAGTGTGTGTGTGTGTGTGCGTGTGTGTGTGTGAAGCCTAAGCAGTGGACTATTAATCTAAGATAACACTGAGAAACATGGAGGCCGTGTAGAATGCTGCAGGTTCATTCATCCAAACAAGACAAAGGGCCAGATGGTGGCACACAACATTATTGTTTGTCCAACCTTAGAGGGGAATTTCCTTTTTCTGACCGTTCCCATTCATTACTGGAGCAAAACAAAGTGCCTCCCGGCATCAAAGACAGGCCAAGTGGTGGGCCATATTCACCTTTCAGGACCGAATCTGAAGAGCAACAAGGTTTTAATGCTCAACAGCAAAAACAGTGCAATGCTGGGACAAAGTACTTTATATATAAAGTGCTACGGATTTCTCTCGAATTCGTATATCTGGATTTTAATACCGCTATTTTTCAAGACAAGCGAAATAATCACAACCGTGTTGTAATTGGAGTCCAAGGGAAGTTGTTAAATATTTAAAGTGGAGCAATTTGAGCACATTTAATTGCACTACTTCATTTTACGAGGTTGTGGATTAATGCTTTAAAAAATGTATTCATGATTCACTCAGATTTTAAAACAGCAGGAACATCTAGGAGCAGGACTCAAAGCTATCGCCCCATTACAAACACAAAGCCAAGTGTTCCGGTTTTATTTTATTCTTTTAACTCGTCAGAACGTCAGACATCATTGATTAATACAGAGAACCAATAGAGACAATATAGGCAATATACTGCAATAGTAAATCATTTTAATCTGAATGGTACCACTGTGCGGCCTTCTTGGTGAGGAAGAAGTCCACACTGTTCGTACGCGTGATGCGGCCCAGCTGGCAGCCAGTTCTCAAAGTCCAGTTTCTTCTTGAAATTACTTTTTTTGTCCAAAATATATTCCACTTCCAATTGGATAAAACGGTGGGAAACCTCATATTAGAGGGGATGTTGACACTCCCTCAACAAATGAGCACCAATCCCAGTGCAGCAAGTTGTCGATATTTGAGTCAGAATGCAGACCATGTAGCTGGAGAGGAAAGGACGTGGCGTCTTTGAATAACCGATTTTAAAACAAGGAGCCGAGAGAGGTCACGTTGCCCGTCACCCTTGAGTCAGACATGCGGGGCACAAGTCGCCGTCTGATAACATGCAAAATGATGCCGCATCACGATTTACTGCAAAGCAGGCGGCTGCGGGTCGCGGCGCATTGACGTGCCCGTCACGGGCCAGAACTCCAGGTTGTGTTCGGGGGACGCAGCTGGCAGGTCTACAAAACAGGATCTTAAATTAGCATTCAGTCACCTGAAAAGGTCACCGATGAAAGTCACCAGACCTCCGTTAAGTCTCGCTAAAAGATCAGGCCCCCGCAAAACAATGAGATATGGCTCTATTCATAGCCAAGGGTGTCCACCGGAACAAAGGGACACGAGCTGCTAAATAAGGGAGCCGGCTTACGCTGCGAATGCCCTTAGCAGTTGTATCAACAAGGTGTCTGACGAATGTGGCTTAGCGGTGAATGGCAAAGCATGCCAGGCAGTTGTGGAATTCTTCTGACGGTATCAGCCAAGTTTTTTCACTTCCTGTGTATTTATAGCCAAGGCTACAAAAGGTCCGTTAGAACAACAGGCAGTGTTGGGGTCGTTGGACGACCCCACGCACGTGATTGAGCAGCATCTCTGCAGACAGAGCACATGATAGGAGACGGGTGTGAGATTCCTACATTGTAATTAGTTCCAGGAGATTTATCAGTTAATAATACAGGCAAAATATATTTCGAAACTCCGACTGATTAAAGTGAATATGGTGACAGTTACCCATTGTGACCTTTGCCCATCTGAAGATGCAGGTTGTTAACTTTGATGGTTACCATAGAAACCTGCCAAAAGCTGAGAGACTGAGGAGCTTCTTCGGGTAGCGGCACAGATGCTGTGACAATGACGCCAGCTAGACAATGTGTCTGCTGTACAGCTGACGCACTGTACAAACAATTCAGCTCATCTCCTGATCTACAAACATTTATTACTTTGCTCTTGAAAAACTCCAAAAATAAAATAAAATCAGAGAAGGGTAGAATGACTCATGTTATATTATGCAGAGATTTGTTATTGTTGCTTTAACTTTGTACACTATGGCTCAAGTACGGGGGACAGGGCTAACTCACACCATACCAACTCTCTCCTGAGTGCAATCCCTTCAAGGGACGCAAAACAACTGAATGGCAGTTCCACAATATAGCGTAATATAGAATTTTTATACTATTTCAGCGTTTCATCACATCCCAATAAAGTGAGAATGTCCAGAATATTGAGCGTTTTGCATCTTTAAGTAAATGTCAGAGGCACCAATCAGGGTTAATATCGGGATGACGCCGCAGAGAGGATTATGCTCTTCCCGCTGGGAGCTTGCTAAAGGTTAATCTATTCCCTGATGCTGTGATGACATTTCAAAATAATGCTAACGTTGGGACATGTCATTGTGCGTTTACGAAAGTGGCCTGCACTCTGCATGCAACGTAAACTCCAGTACTTGGGAGCCGCAACACACAGATGC